ATTTTTTTTTACAAGAAGTGAAATGCAACAATTTAGGCACATAAGATATAGCAGAATATGATGCATCAGGTAAACATGGTTTATGCATAAAAGTAGGTTTAACAAACATTGTTTTACCTCGATTACTAGAAGACCCTTTCACAAACCCTAACCTTGTTTTATCATTCACATCCTTACCTATGTTAATTATCTTATTCAAACTGTTTTGACTCATATTGAATCCTTTCAGTTACTCTTTTTCAGATTTCAATTCAACTTCAAAATAATCATTTTTCAAAGCAATACATTCCTTTAACGAGTTAGGAACACTTACCTTATCCTCAAGAATGATGATCTGTTTCTCAAGTTCAGTGATGACAGACTTGTTTTCAACAGCCTTCCTTTTGCCTTTATCAATCTGTTTCTTTAGATCTTCATTCTCTCCTTTTGCTTGGATAAGCTCCTTTGCTAGCTTATTGATTGCATGTTTGGTCTCAGTGGTTTCTCTGACCATCTTCTTCAGTCTTTCATCGTCCTTTTCATCCTCTTCAACATGTTCATAATGAACTTCACTATCTTCGTTATCTGAACTATTAGAGTCAGATAAATTAACGACATGATGACCCCTATTAAGAAAAACGACATAAGAAAAATCATTAGTATTATCCTATAGAGAATCACTATCACTTAAAGTAGACTTTTCAATCATAGAAACTTTCATTGCTTTTCCTTCATTCCTATCCTTTTGTTCTTTCCTAGGACTAGGATAAACATTGGATGCATGACATTTGCCACCACAATTCCAGCAAGTAAATTCAGTTTCTTTTGATTCTTCTACTTTTTTCTCATTAAACCTAAACTTTGACGTCTTGTAAAAATTTTGAGGATTAGCCATGTTGTTATTCCTTCTCCTCTGTTACCTTTACAAAATCTAGTTGAATTGCCTTGACAAGAATGCAATATCATCATCAGAGTCATTATTCACAGAATTCTTAACTTGTGTAGATTTTAAAGCAACATTTTTCTCCTTCTGACTTAAATCAAAATTCTGCATCTCAAAAGTTTTTAATGAACCTACCATCTCATCAACTAGAATAAAAATCAGAAAATGATTCATCTTCTTTCATCACAATGTTGCCAAATTTATGAGAGAGCAGCTGAATTTTGGATAACTTCACTTTTGAAGTTCCTTCATGAGTAATCTGCAAAATATCCCAAGCTTCTTTAGCAGTTTTACAATCAGAAATTCTAGCATATTCAGATGGAACAACAGAATTAATAATTGAATATAAAGCTTTGCCATTAGCATCATTACGCTCAGTTTCAATAGCAGTAAAATCAAAAGAATCTTTTAACTCTTTAACTATTTTACCATCCATAGTTGTATCTACTGTAGGAGGTGTATAGCAACTGTTGCCCAAGTTTTACTACCAGAATTTTGCAAATAGGCACTCATCTTTGATTTTCAAAAATTGTAATTATCTCCTTCAAATAAAGGACCACGTTGATTAAAACCGCCTTCTTTCAACGCATAAGACATGATGAAAACAATTTTTGAAAACAAAACTAAACTTTCCAACAAGGATCAACTCAATGTATAGAGATTGGCTCTGATACCAAATTGTGAGTTATACGCAGCGGAATGTATTTAGGAAAGTTTTAGGTTTTGTAAAACAAATCTGTGTCGTTACTAACTTTACTTGTTTTAGCAATTAAACAATTAATCACATGCAAAAAAATAAAGCAAAGTATAAAGTTAGAGATGACACCAGGATTTTAGCAAGAAAAGCCAGTTGATAAAATACGTCAACTGTTATGGGAAAAACCTCGTGGACTTGTGCATTCTAAAGTATACCAATCCACTATGCTTGAAACAAAGTATACCGAACTTTAACTCTAACTCACACCCTATCGTTCTACACCACACCAACCGTTGACGATCCTCTGGCTTTGTGACTCCCCGTCCAACAGCAACTTGACCTCAGGCTTACACTTAATATTCGTAGAAGAGTAGCAGGTAGATCAAACAACACTCCACAAATGCTCCATTCCTTTCAAAGTGTGACTGCGTTTACTTCTGTTTTTCAATTGTCTGAATGATGTGGAAAAAGATCTACTTTACCTGATCGATGTTAATATAACTGTATGATCACGATCAGGATTCGAACTCCACAACTCTAACCTAACTAGGTAAATATGTGTATGTTCTAGGAAGACAACAGAAAAATCAACTTTGATTTTCTGAGAGAAATAAACTTCCTAAGGCTTTGAATAATATCTGAATTATAATGTAAAAGCCGTGAATAAACTAATGTATATGACATAGTTTATATAGAGTATGGAATGACCTAATCCCTTTGAAAATAAGGTAAATTTCGTGCATAGGATTTGGTACAATTCTAGACCAATTTGGAAATCATTCAGAAAAAGGAAACTGAAGTTGTATTACAAACAGGACATCTTGAACCAGTTCAAGGAAGCTGAACCGGTTCAAGTTTGGCAGTGTATCAAACTTGAACATCTTGAATCGATTCAAGGAAGCTGAACTAGTTCAAGATTGGCAGACTTGAATTTCGAGTTCTTTCAGCCTTGTTTCATTCTACAGAAATTTTAGATCAACATAGTAAGGTAGAATGTCCAACCTTATTCATATACCTTCCTATAATGGTGTTCTTACCCTTTTCTTCATAAACTCTTCAAATATGGTAAGTTCAAACCTTTTCCTAATTCTGTAGTCCCTGTCGACCTCGATGACTTGTAAAACAAGTATTACAATTACAACTCAACTTGGACTTGTTATGTCAACGATAATTGCCAAAAAAATAATTAATATCTCATAATGTGGGTCTAAAGGTTGATTGGAAATGCAAATATAGTATAAATAATATGTTGTAATGGTGGAGGATATGTGGTTAAGAGCTAAATTACATAAAGCAGGAGCGAGAGCAAGAGCGAATTCGAAAGCGGGAGCATGAGAGCAGCAAAATTAAGTTATAAATAGTGAGAATTTGAGAGTACGGAGCGTGAGAGCGGAAGCGTACTCGGAGCGTGAGAGTGATGGCTGTTGAGAAGGATTGTGTGACTTGGGTTATGAGTGACAATTTACTAGTCGAGTTTTCTAGGCCACCTTACCTTCTGCCTCTAGAGTCGCTCGATGAGGGAACTGACTCACGCTAGATGTCCTCGCGCTATGAAGTAAATATATACGGTATATACAAGGATATTTTTGTCTCCAAAATATATGAGAAAACTCAATGTCCAAACAAGACCCTTTTAGCTAAGTTTTTTGGCAATACAAAAAAAAAAAAAAAAAAATAGGGGATTTAGTGCAAAACACAAATAAAAAAGGGAGATTTAATGCAATTCAACCTTGTTCATAATGCATGATTTAAAAATATATATATTTTCTATATTCTTCTTTAATTTGTAACCTCTATGTTGAAATGTAAGCAGTGTCACAATCACATATGGGTCCAAGTGAGGAGTGACGACAATCCAGTCCGATCAATAATTGAGGTTGTTATGACCATGACTTTACGCCCAGTTTGGTTGCAAAGAAAAGAAAAGCTAACATGGGAAAATTGCATGTTCTGATAAAAGAAAAGAAGTCGAGGGATTTGGGGTTGCAGGGAGACACATATTAGTTATGATGAGAAGGTTTTGTTAAGGTTTTGTTATCCTTTTAAAAATGAGAAAAAATGAAAAGAAAGGCTACAAAGAAGGTTTATATATAAAACCCTTTTAATACGGATTTTGTACAACCAAATCAAAATGTCAAGAGTCTCAGGGCATTTTCTTTTGGGTAAATTACGTAAAGACCCCCTGAGGTTAGGACATATTACAGCTAAATGAAGATTTTGGTTTTAATTTTCACTTATATTTGAATTAGTGGTTTAGTATTTCATTCACACCCCAAATGTCATTTTTCTTGGGTGTGCAGAGTACTTTACATGTTAAAATGACTATGTTGCCCCTTTGACTAATTGTTGACTTACAAGAAAAATGTTTCAATTTTTTTAGGACAAAAATACCTTTCACCCACCTCACCCCTCTCTACGTATAATACACACGTTCATCTTCTCCAAAACCAATTAAGAATTTTACAGACCATGGCTGCCATAAATAAATACAGTCAAACACACATATACACACTATATATCTATATCTATATACACACTATATATCTATGTGGTGGTTGTGTGTTCAAGTTTTCTGGAGAAAATGGGTTTCTGCAACATTCAAAAAACCCACTGGATTGAGAGAGAGGAAACCCCCAATTTCACAAGCAAGTGGTTGTGTTTCTTTAATAAAATTGTTTGCGTTTTTTTTCTTTTTTTCTTTTTCACAGGGATCTGCTGGAAAAGATGACGGTTTGATCAGTTTTGGGTTTGTGGTCTTCAAAAATTAATTTGGTTAACAATGGTTCGAAGATTTGGCGAGTTTTTGTGAATTAAAGTAATATAATTGGTGAGTGGTTGACGTAACAATTTGGATTTGATTTAGAAGAGCCTTCAACACCACCCACCTAAAACCTCCATCACCACCACCACTACCACCACCCACCCACCCAAAACCTTCATCACCACAACCCCACCCAACACCTCTAACACCACCGCTCCCACCCAAAACAAAACCCAGCCACAAGACCCAATTGAAACCCAGCCCATGAACCACGTCGTTATGAACCTACCGTTGCCATGAACCACGTCGTCACCGTGATTAAACCTGAACCTCGTCGCTGCCATGATTAAACTTCGCCTCCATGAGAAGCTAGGGTTTTTGATAGGTCGAGAGGTTAGTGGGTTTGAGATTGTCGACGGTGAAAGAGGTGAAGATTCCGGCGACCCAGTTTCATGAGCATGAATGACCCAAGGGCAGTGACCAAACTGGACAGTGAAGAAATACCCAGTTGCAGCTCCATCAACGTGAAAACCAGCGGAAATGGTGAAGCGGATCGAGTCGCGTGATAACCGACGACTGATTTGCCAACGGTGAGGATCTAAATTTCGAGGTCGGCGGTGATGTACGATAGTGAGCCAGCGATTCAAGTGGAGGCGGCGCTGTACGACGACAATCACGATTTGGTCAGTGATGATTTGGGCATGTACAAACAGTGTTTATATATATACACACACACACACACTATATAGGGGCCTTTTGTCATTTAGGATTATATATATTTTGGATTAAAAAATTGAGGGTAAAAGTGTCAATTCGCATGTGTCAGAGGCCAAAAAGTAAATTGGGGTGTAAGTGAAAGTTAAAACCAAAATCTTCATCTAGCTGAAATATGACCTAACCTCAGGGGGTGTCTGTGTAATTTACCCTTTTTTTTTTTTTTTTTTTTTTTCTCTAACTATTTCTTTGTTTTCAAAATGTCATTTTGGCTTGAATGATATTTAGCAAAATGGTTATAGACCAAATCAAAATATCATAAAGTGCTGGGGCATGTTTTTATTTAAAAAAAAAAAAAAAAAATTCATTTTCAAATTACTCAAGTTGTTGGGTTCCTCGGGTGATAAGGTCCACCCAAGTTCCCGTACTCCTAATAGCAAGAATTTCCTTCAACTGAGGCTAGTCAGCTATGAGAAAATACACTAAATGCTTGGATGAAATTAATACTAAAACCACAACACAACATTTCCGAGATATTGAGCTACCTCCACAAGGATAATGTTAGTCAGCAGAGTACTAATAGCAATGGCAGAATAAGGTATTATTTGTGATAGCTAAAGCAAATTTTTTTTTTCCCCCTTTCTTCTCTCTCTCTACAAGTCGCGAAATTTGACCTAGGAGAGTTAAGACTCAAATAGACCAAAGCTTTTACCATGGTCTATTTGAGAGAAGAAAGAGGAAGCTGAGACGAAAGAGGAAGCTGAGACGAAGATATCTGCGTGGCAGACCGCTAAGATTGCCAAGATTAATAACAGGTTGAAGCGTGAGGACGCCATCTTCAGTGTTTGGGAGAGAGAGCAGGTTCAGAAGGCCACTTCACGGATGAAGAAAGTTGAGGTATGTATGAATAAATGGAACTTCATGCATGTTAATTAGTTTATCATGTTATGTCACGTGTGATATATGTGTATGTACATATTTCATGCCAAAGTGCCTACATACATATACATGTGAGTAAGGTTCACTTTACTTCCACGGACCTCTAGCATTTATATATTCAAGAATTGATTTACTTGTTGACAAAGCCGAACTTTTCAATTTAATTACTTGCTAACTCAATCGAAATTATATATCCAATTAATTTCCCCATCTTTTTATCTGATTTGTCTAATTTTACAGTCCCAATTGTTCACTGCTTCCCTTGAATTGGAATTGGAATTGGAATTTACCTTTTTCACCTATAAAGTTTACAGAAGTTGTTAGAATAAAAGAAATAGAAAAATAAGAAGGATGATTCAATAATTTCCATGTCTCAGCACATTATTTGTAAATCTTCCTCAATAATGAGAGGATATGTTAATGGATACAAAACAGTTAAATAATAACATGGAGAATTTTCTCTTTGTAGAGGAAGCTGGAGGAGAAAAGAGCAAGAGCGTTGGAAAAAATGCAGAACGAAGTAGCAAAAGCACACAGGAAAGCAGAGGAAAGGAAGGCATCAGCAGAGGCCAAGAGGGGTTCCAAAGTGGCTAGGGTTCTAGATATAGCCAACTTGATGAGAGCTGTTGGAAGACCTCCTGCCAAGAGGGCCTTCTTTTAAGCATATGCTACAAGAGTCCCTTCACCTTTCAAGTATAGTTATTCTATATAAAGGGGAATATCTTCAAACAAACATAGAACTACATACTTTTAATTTAGATTCAACTATTCAAGTATGTGGACTTCTTTGGTCTGTGAGTGATAGTGTGGAACCAATTTTCTTGTCTTGTACAGCATCCGTATCCTATATGGGTAAGCTTAAGAATTTCAGTTTTGTGCATCTGCTGCTAATGAAATGGTAATTTGCAAAACTTAAAAAATCGGAAGTCCAATGATAAACAGGGCAATTGTTACAAATATCAGCCAGATATAATATGCTAGACAACAGCTACATTTAACATATTAGAAAACATAGCTTAGAAAACAAAAAGATACCAACGGGTCAGTGGCTTAGCGTTATCAGTCTCTTACCTCTCAAAGAGAGGTTAGAGGTTCAAGTTTTAGAAGAGACAGTTGTGTGAATATCAATTTTTCAAGGTCTTGTGGTTAATGAAGACGCTTCATCACCGTCAAAACCAGAAAGTCCGAAACCTCCTACTAAATGAATCTGCAGCACCATCATCATCAATCCATTCCCAACAGCAGAGGATTGATGATGGGGTCCTCAACTTTGGAAGCAAAATCAGCAAGGTTTGGTGATGCTGTCCCAACAGCAGAAACCTTTTTTGAGGTTGAAGCCCTGGATTAAAAACAAAATAACGGGTTTTCATGAACAAATTACTGAGAATTTTTCAAAGTTATAAAATTCCCAAAAACTAACATAATGTGCCATTAAAATTTCCAAAAAAATGAGATAATGAAACAAATAATATAAAGCTAACGCACTATACTTTCACCCTTCAAGCAGATCAATGATTGCATTTGTCCAATGCCGCCTGCTTATACTGTTTGCAGTTTTGGGAGAATGAACAGCATACTGAAAGACATCTCATACTTGAGACTTAATGAAAAGTTTAATTCAAAAGATTTTCAAGCAAGGGTTAATATAGTTTACTTTGTCCAAAAAATTAAAAGGTTTGATTAATTAATGCAAATGTTCCTAAGGAAATTTTTAAATACATTGAGAAAAACAATGAATAAAATATAGCTTCCTTAATTAATGGGAAAAAAATCCATGCAACATGCCTATATACTTTTCGGACTCAAATAGACCATGGTAACTGTAATATCATTTGTGGAACAAACTCCTACATTAGCTAATGATGAGTTCAGACCACTATTAGATGATCTTGAAATAAATGCAGGCTGTTTAGGCGGAGGAAGAGAAGTTTCATTGCACAACATCAGAACAACTGCTGACATGGTTGGCCGATCGATGGCATGTTCTTGCACACACAAAAGCGCAATGTGAATGCATCTCTGAACGTGATGAGTTCGATATGACTCACCTAGCGATGATGAATCAACCATGTCCAAGGCTTCTCCTTTTCCCCAAAGGCCCCAAACCTGAAACAGTTTAAGCATAATCATCAATCATATTATTTTTCATTCTAAAAACTATGACATGCATTTTACTTACATGTCCAATCAAATTCAGATACTTGTCTTGATAATAACGGCTGTTTTTCCTGCCACAAATGATCTCCAGCACTACAACACCAAAACTAAAAATATAAGATTTTATTGAAAATAATCCTTCCATTGCATACTCGGGTGACATATAACCACTGCAAAAATAACATATGAAAATTTTGTTAGTCTACTTAAATATTTTACTTTGTAAATCTCTCTCTTCATAACATGAATACATGAACTTCTTACTATGTTCCAACCACTCTATTGGTATTTGCTTCAATTTGTTCCCCTCCAAAAATTCTAGCCATTCCAAAATCTGATATTTTTGGGTTCATTTCTGCATCTAGTAAAACATTGCTGGCTTTTAGATCCCTGTGGATGATTCGTAATCTCGAATCTTGATGAAGATATAGCATTCCTCGAGCAATTCCTAAAATAATATCAAACAGTTTTTCCCAGCCCATCGTTGACCTTTTAGCTTCATCTGATTCCAAGAAATTAAAAATTGCCAAATCATGCATCATAAATTGCCAAATTAATGTATAAAAAATATTTCTCATTGATAATGCAAGAACTATAATGAAAAAGATGAAGCAAATGAAAGTCGTAGAAAAAACACATATGTACCAAAGATAAACGAGTCCAAGTTTTTGTTTGGCAAGTATTCATAGATTAACATGTTCTCCTCTTGTTGAATGCAGCATCCTAAAAGTTTCACAAGATTCCTGTGCCGGAGTTTCGCAATCAGAGTAACTTCATTCTTAAATTCCCTTATCCCTGTTCACAGCTATCACTTGGCCGTTATGTAGCCGGCCCTGAAATTGATTAAATTATTTTTCAAAAAATGGCAATTTGTGCAAGTTTACTCTCACCCTCAATGAACATAAAGTTAACTTCGCTTTACTTTAAACACAATTGGATTAAGCTGCTCAATTTTGAGATAATTAACTACTAATTACGTACCTTATAAATTGTGCCAAAACCATCTCGTCCAAGCTTGTTAGCAGAAGAGAAATTGTCTGTGGCAGCTACAATGGTGCTTAGATCAAAGAATGGTAAATCTGTACTAGTTTCACTTTCAGCAAGCTCATTTTCACTAAATGACAACTTTGCCATTCCTATTTTTCGTGTTAATGAATTATATAGTAAAAGTATAATGAAGATCATGCCAAATCAGTCAAAACCACAAACAAGTGGCTGAATTATGTTTTTTTATTTTTATTTTAAGAAAGCCACATATAGGCATTACCCATTAGGGACTTGAACCTTCCATCATTTATATGTTTTTTCACTTTTTCTTTACTATTGTATCGATTTTTCCCTTTGTTTAATTCCATATTTTTCTACAATCTCTGAACATTTCTTCATTTCCAAATGGACCCTTAGTTATTATGATTTTTGAATTTTAGGTTGTCACAATTAATAATGCTAGTCCAAGCCAAAAATAAGCAGAACTTATTGTAAATTGTTTACCTTAAAAGTAAATATGGCCTTTATGGTAAAACAATTGTAAACTGAATTGGAAGAATAACTAATCTTTTATCTGTTACCACAAATAATTAATCTGTTTACCTTTCCTTTTCTTCATCACAAACCAATATGCCAAGAAGATTGTGAGAAATAACACTACAATAACAGACACTACCGGAATGGCCACCGTCACCTTCTTGCCGTGATTGCCTTTTGACTTGGAATATTGAGCTGGAAACAAGAAATTAAAAAGAAACATTAATTCACCCCATTGAAGATTCTTGAATTCATCTTGTGTGTGTGTGTGTATATATATATTAAATCTCATAAAATAGCTTTAAATTTATTAATTTTCTGCGTTTTCACATGAATAACAATTGAACAAGTTACTGGATGGAAATTTGGAATTTCATGTTTTTGACAATGAAATTCGAATTCTAATCAATCTTCACGTAACGAAATTATGGGAGTTCTGGGAATTCCAATTTTATAACATTTTCAACAGTTAAATACATTAATAATTGATATATGTTTTTGAATTTAAAATATTACAGTACTTTTCAAAAATACATTTTATATTGAATGGAAATAAATGCATACAAAGGTTTACAGAGAGTGCTAATCTATAAACATATAACTTGTCAAATTTAGTTTAATTCAATCATGAAGACAGTGCTGTCATTTTTATGTTTTTGATTGAGACACTTCAACTATTTATTTAACGCATACTGTTATTTATGTGATCCTCTGCTCTAATAATATTTATTTAATGCATATTGTTATTTATGTGCTCCTCTGCTCTAATAATTTTAAAATACTGTTATTTTTTATAATTTGTTCCATCAATTACATCATACAAAAACTATCATTAAAATATGAATATCATTTTCTTATAATTTGTTCCATCAATTATATCATACAAAAACTATCATTAAAATATAAATATCATTTTTTCTTTTTCATTTTTCTCATTTTTGTTTTTGGTTGAACAATTTGTCTACTCTACCTCATAAGCCACGTTAGGGATGCATTCATTGAGTTGAAACAAGTTGACTTATTCTTTCATTATTGAGGTCTGCATTATATTTGTTCCGTCCTGAAAAGAGTGTCTTTTTTAGGAACCGTGACTCTTCAATTTTTGAGAGTCACAATTCTCCAAAAGAGACACTCATCTTGAAATAGGAAGTAATATTTTTCATTACTTCAAATTAAGCTCAAGTGACCTTTTAATTTTGAGCATTTTAGCTCTAATCGAATAAGTAAAAATATTTTTTAATTTTATTATATTTTCCTGAGAATTTATAAGTGACTCAGCAAACAAAATCCAACTTAGCGTACTTATTTAATAACTGAATTTAAGTTCAATTTAATTACCTATCGATTCCAAATCACTTAAAATCAACAATCCTAAATGAAGAATCACAAATGTATGAGCATGAAAAGACTAAATACATACCTAATTCAACTGCATCAACACGAATGTATATATCTTGGCCCCCATCTAAAAACACTCTTGTATCTATCAATTGACCGTGCCAAGTGACACACCCGCTCCCTCCTCCTCTTATGTCTGCACTCGTGTAACCACTACAAGAACAATCTTTCAAGCACACCTACTCGCACTCTTTCAAACTCAAACTTATATTCACATGTGTCATTGTTGCATAAGGAATGTTAGAATGTGTCAACGGCATGAAACCCTCTCCATTTTGACACGTGTCTCCCCCGTGTTTCCTCACGCACCCACCTGACGCATCCCACAAGGACCAGTCACTTGCAAACTTGGGTTCGAAACCTGGTAGACACGTACATTCGAACTTCCCATCGCTGGGTGGGTTACAATTACCGAACAAACCACACGTACCATAAGGACCAAAAGGGTCATACCGATCCTTAGGGGCTGACCAATACCCAACCCATCTGTGGTCTCCCTCGAGCCAATTATGTACTTCAACGGTTCCAGACTCATTCATGACGAAACTCGATAGAACCGATTCATTGCTACCAATTATGAAAACCTCATCATCATTGTCAACATAAGTGGTGCGGAACACAAAATTTGATGTTTGCAGTGGAATGCCACTATACTTAACCCTATTCCACGGTCCGAAAAAGAGTGTCTTTTTTAGGAACCGTGACTCTTCAATTTTTGAGAGTCACAATTCTCCAAAAGAGACACTCATTTTGAAATAGGAAGTAATATTTTTCATTACTTCAAAACTCAAGTGACCATTTAATTTTGAGCATTTTAGCTCTAATCGAATAAGTAAAAATATTTTTTAATTTTATAATATTTTCCTGAGAATTTATAAGTGACTCAGCAAGCAAAATTCAACTTAGCGTGCTTATTTAATAACTAAATTTAAGTTCAATTTAATTATCTATCGATTCCAAATCACTTAAAATCAACCATCCTAAATGAAGAATCGCAAATGTATGAGCATGAAAGGATTGATTGCATACCTAATTCAACTGCATCAACACGAATGTATTTTTCCTGACCCCCATCCGAAAACACTCTTGTATACATCAACTGACTGTGCCAAGTGACACACCCACTCCCTCCTCCTCTTATATCTGCACTCGTGTAACCATTACAAGAACAATCTTTCAAGCACACCTCCTCGCACTCTTTCAAACTCCAACTTATATTCACACGTGTCACTGTTGCATAGGGAATGTTAGAATGTATCATTAGCACGAACCCCTCTCCATTTCGACACGTGTCTCCCCCGCGTTTACTCACGCACCCGCCTGACGCGTCCCACAAGGACCAGTCGTGTGCAATTTTGGGTTCGAAACCGGGTAGACATGTACATTCAAACTTCCCATCACTGGGTGGGTTACAATTACCGAACATAGCACTGGTACCATAAGTACCATAAGAGTCGCAACCATCCTTGGGGGTTGACCAGAACCCAACCCATCTGCAGTCTCCCTCGAGCCAATCAAACATTTCTAAGGTTCCAGACTCGTTCACGACGAATCTCCATAGAATCGATGCATTATTGCTGAGAATAACGAAGACCTCGTCATCATTATCAACATAAGTGATGTTGAACACGAAATATGTGGGCTTTGATGGAATGCCACTCCATTTATCCCCATCCCACGGTCCGGTTCGCCATAATCGAACCGAACCCTTAGACAAGAAGAATTGTGGAGACCCATTGAGGTCCATTTTATACAGACACTCTCCGGCTCCTGGGTCATCAGGTGACTTCCAAGCCATCAGGAATCGGTTCAGACCGGTCCTCCGGTCCACCCCAATTTTCATTAAGGGAAACATAGTATCCGTAGGGTGATCAAAGCCTTGCCATGCAACAACACTTTTGTGAAGCAAAATCAAATTTCCTGAATCCAACAGTTGAGCTGAACAAGTGTTCGCCGGAGGTGCCACAGAGACATTTGTCGACCAAAAGGGGATGCTATCATTTCCATTGTGTATAACGAGGTTTCCTGTTTTGTCGATGGAGAGAATCCCAGAGGTGTCATTGATCGGATTGTCTCTATTTGCAACCCAAATAGAATAAGGTGAATTCTTGTTCATAAACACAAGGTGTTAAAATTAATTTGTATATGTTAAAAATTTGTCTAAAATTCACTTATTACATGAAAAAAAATCTATTGGTTACTTGATGTGGGATTTGGTAATTGGCTAGAGTGAATGAGTGATGCCGGTTTTGGTCATTGGATGAGATGACTCACGCTTTGGATGGTAAAAGGATAAGCCAATGAGAATGAATGTGTTGGTAATCAAATTATGTGTGCTAGAGGTAAAAGAATGACGCTGAATGTGTATGCAATGCATGGGTTGAAGGGTACAGGCAATTCGTGTTCGTAGGTCATAATTGCGTCGTATCGATATAAGGGTATTATACTAAACAAATAAATTTAAACCTGACCTATTTAATAATCATGTCAAGAACCCTCAACACTAACTCAACCTATTTATTAAACGAATAAATGTGTTAACCCGTTTAATAACTTATTTATCAAAATGAAACATTTAATATTTAATCAAATAATTGTTGGTAAAATATATGCTTAATGTGACTTTTAAGATATAACAATCCTTATACTAATATGTCATAAGATAATTAACAATATGTTAATAAATCATTAATTAAATATGCTACTCTATATTTAATTAAATATGCAAAATAAAGCAATAAAATAATAATAATATGCAAGGAATGAACCTGGACCGAGGCTAGTATTGGATACTATGTCCTTAAGACAGATTCGCCCCGCTATGGTGCTAACGGACTCAGTGGCGTCTATCTCCCAAGATACAACGGTCTACATCCACCAGTAGCAGCACTACAAACTCGTGGATACGGCGAACCTCCTCCGTGTAATACTCTCTCTAACTCAAAAATGCATCTATATACTATATAAATGCTGAATTAGGTGTAATCCGAACCAAATGGTTCGGACCAATCTTAATATGGCTCGATGAAATTGGATTAGGGTCGAAGTGGCTCGAACCACTTAACCTATGGTTTGAACCCTCTTGGGTTGGGTTCCAGTCTAGAGAGGGAGATAGAAGAAAATGAAAATGAATGACTTGCAAATGATCCAAAGGGGGGTATTTATAGAAATAGAAATGCCTTTTCGGATGAAGTGCGTCTTTTCATCATTGAACATAACCATTGCAATAGGTTGTAATGGTTCACATGGTGTCTATTCACCATTAGACACATCCATTCCAATAGGTTGCAATGATTCACATGGTGTCTGTTCACCAATAGACACATCCATTCCAATAGGTTGCAATGGTTTACATGGTGTCTGTTCACCAATAGACACATCCATTCCAATAGGTTACAATGTGCCTTTTCGAGTGGGTGCAACTATAGGTTATGATGGTTCGGAAAAAGGTGTAACCCTTTGGAAAAAAATAAAAGTGGTTTTTTAATTTAAAAGGTGTAACCCTTTAGAAAAAACTAAAATATGATTTTTTAATTTAAAAGGTGTAACCTTTTAGAAAAACTAAAAAGTAGTTTTTTTAATTCAAAAAACCAACCACCCCAAAACCCTACTCATTTGTGAAACCTATTTAAATAAGCCCAACCCAAAATTAGGCCCAATCCAAAATTCCAAAAAAAGAATAATCTGGACTTTACAATTAGGCCCAAGCCCAAGCCCAAATCCTAAACTCAGCTTATTTAAATTTCAATTTGTTTCAACATTTTTTCCATGTGGGACAAACACTTCCCACATTTTGCATACCCATTTAGGCTTATCAAAACACCACACTTTGGAGCTAATTTCTCATTCATCTGGAAATGGATTTCAAAAAGTAAATATACCACGTTCATCTCCTTGCGGAGAGAAACGCGCTTGTCTAGAGATCCGTAAAAAATTATTAGCGGAATCTATTTCAAATCTCATCCAAAGTTTATATTTTTAATGCCCCCGTTTCCAACAATCCCCCACATGAATGGAAATTTGCGTAAAATGCAAAAGATGATTATGCAGACACTAGAGAGAGTATAATCGAAAAGTTACTGCATCAGGATAGGTGGCTTTTGGCTTTGAACCTTCCCTAGTGTATTGCTATCGGATTTACTGGCTAACCAGTGAATGCGATGTCTTGAACTGTTCAGCCGTTTGTGTAAACCAAGACAATAACAGACACACAGTAGCTTTCCTCACAAAGTTGGTTCTCATTGTTGTGTTCATTTTGGCCCTGAACAAGTCCTGGTATTCAATGAGTGCTCTAGAAGACTTAGCCTTTATAGTTCTCATAGAAGCGGCCCCACTTCACACTCATATAGGTGACTTCTTATTAAGAGTATCCTACCAAACCCCACTTGAATTTTCAAGGTATAAGAGTCATTAAAAGCGTAGCTTATCCTGATCATCGCTGTAGGTAGCACTGTTTCATCATAGAAATGGGTAGAAGATTTATATCTTCCCAGTGCTTCTGGTGAGTCACTCAAAATTTCTGTTGTCCCTTTGAACCTAGATCTTGGGATCTCCAGTCAACTAGGTTGGGTTTCCATTAAGGTGACTCGTTAGCTTTCGGCTTTAAACCCCATTCCCCTCGATGAACTGTACAATTGTTCTCTAGTATAACCTTCAATTTTATATGTGGCCACAAGGTTGCGTTTAGAAATATTACACTCTGCAGAGATTTCTCCAGGTGAGAGCAACTGTATACTTTGTGCCCTAAAATTGCTTATTGTTAGCAATATCATTTTCTTTAGTGGCACAGGTGTAGACTTACTTTGAATTGTCCTCTAGGTGAAATCTATTGACTTCCCTATTTGATTTATTCAAAGTTTCTAACTTTGAGTTATATTAAGAACATAAAACTACACCTTTAATATAAAAGACATATCCACTATTGGATTTGAAGTCTTTAATATCCCATATCCAGATTGCATCACTGTTACACCTCCAATTTAGTTAGATACCTCGATCTATGCAATATTGGATTTAGGGTGTATCTCAACTACCCAATTTATTGTTTTTTAGTGATCTGATTCTGGATTGAAAATGTGCAATTAAACACAGTTATTAAGATGCCTTGCAATCTCAACCAATGATATACTTCGGCTAGTATTTATATTTGAGATTTACATCTACAAAAGTTAGCTAGGCTTTTGTTATCATAACTAGTATTATCTCAATCTCACTCTATTGAGAATATACTATGTTATTGGATGTTAAATCTTTCATATCAAATATACTAATTAGTATATCATTAATTTTTTTTTTAAGGCATACAATGACTTATACATCACATTTATGTCATTGTCTTGGTACTAGCTTTAATCCACTTAAGGACTTATAAGCTTGCACACTTTGCTCTTCAACTAGAACAAATAACTCGGCCTTCCGCTGGAAAAAGAACTATTCTAGTTGTTCCATAATATTTTCCTCATAGGAAACAACATGCACTATTGTTATAATACTATAAATGATTTTTGGTTCTATCCAAAATTTCTTAGGATTAAGAACCCTACATTTATAAGTATTCTTATTTGGTGAGGTAACTCATAGCAAATTTTATCTATGGACAATATCCCCCCACAACTTTGAGATAATCCTGAAGTTTTATCTCTAATGTATTTATTATGATTTTTCAACTATGAAAGTACCATATATTAAATACTTCACCTCATCTACCTTTTCAAGGTTCCATATTCGCTTCTCAACAAATATATATAACAGTCTCTAGTGCATATGTACTCACTTTATCTTTAACATATTCTTATAATAATTCACTGACATTACCGTGAATTAATGCTAAAGATATTAATTACAATGGGCTCTAATTAATATTTGTTTTTACATCTTTTATATTTATAAATTGAGTTATTCATGTTTAGGTTCATGTTAAGTCAGTCATATTAACATGTTATAACATTTCATGTGTTGCACATCACATAACTCAATCATTTAAGCAAATAATTATCTTATTATTTAAGCTTTGGATACAATCACCACAAAGTGAGCACTCACTTCTTAGCTATCATTACTAGTTAAAAGTGAGTTCTTAACTATCATTACTAGCTTAGATTAAGTACACTCTTCTCATATCTCACTACTAGGTTATGATGAGCACCCACTTTTCAGCTATTACCGCTAGCTTGAAGTTAAGTTTGTTTAGCTATCAATTCTAGTAGTTCATAGCTTTAGTACATACTTATCTAAGTAGTTTACCTTGGTAGTAGAGTAATTTGTTTTGAAGAATATTCTTCAAAAACTACTACTTTACAAGTAGTATTATTCCCTCCTACATGAGCAGATATGATGAATAGCTCAAATAGTTTATGGCTAAAATGGCTACTCATCACCCTCGTGTTTTTTTATACTACCAAGTATAGAGCTATAACCAATTAACAAATTTTCCTCTTAAGTTCTGTACACTTCATTAATCATTTTAACTTGTAGCTAAGCTAACTAGTTTGAAACTCAGTAACATTTTAGCTTTTAACTAAATTGTACACTAGAGCTGATTAGCTTGATTTAGCATGTCTCGGTGTACTTGCTTAGTGTATCCATAACATTTTTCATTGAACCCTTTAGAGTTATCGAAGATCTCTATCTTATTCAGCCCATTCATAGCTATACGTGTCTTAGACACTAATATAGATCTTTTTCCCTTGACTATTGGGAGAATTGATATAGATAAACTAGTTAATTTTTTGTTTGTTGTATTAAATACACAAACCAGTCATGAACTCATATACAATTAATAATATCACACATTAAATAAGCTATATTGTAAAATTAAATTACTACGTACACTAAGTAATTCAACTACATATCTCAATATTATAATCTCAAATAATAAACTTTTGTAAAAATAATATTGAATTTGCATAACAATATAGTTTCATATTATATCACATGATTAATTATATCACATAATTAATTTAAGAAAAAAGATTTGTGGCTCATTTTCCAATAAACATACTAGAAAATTAGGACCAAAAGATGTAAACGTTCTAGCCTACAAGAAAATGATATGCACTGATGTTATAACCTATCAAAGGTTTTATGTAACGATCCACTCCATCACATAGTATGATA